AACACAGCTGGTAATATTTGGTTTTAATTCGGCTTTTATCGGGGTTTATTTTTTGTATTTCTGTATTTTTGTATTTTGCATTTTTTGTATTGTGTGTATATTATTTGTTTTTAATATGCTGTGAACCGCCCTGAGTCCTATGGGAGAAGGGCGGTATACAAATTAAATTATCTATCTATCTATCTATCTATCTATCTAAATCTACAGCTGTTTTGTGCTAGAAGTCTTGGTAGCATAAAAGTAATTATAAATAATTTTAAATTAAATAAAATAAAACATTTCATTTTATGTATTCTAGTTTTCTGATGCTTGCAACTTTGGGATGTACTATTCTGAAAAGACTCTTTTATAAACAAAGATTATCTGGTATTAGTTTAGGGAATAAATGTTTTGAGAGAAAGACAGGCCAGTTATTTTTGTACAGGGCTGTCTGTATTCATGTTAATGATTTGAATGGGGTGGACAGGTTGAGAGTTATGTAGGTCAAAAGTACTGAGAATGACAGGGGCTTGGCTTTTTTTTCCTCTTAGAAGAGTTAATTTTATATATTTAAGGAAATACATGTCTTAACATATTCCCTGATTATGATTCACAGCATAGTGTACCCTTTTATCAGCATAGCAAATAGTTGCAAAGTAGTAGCAAATTTTGGTTTGTGATATCTCTTTTAAACTTTTGGCTTTTAGCCTCAGATAAAGTCAAGGATGTTTGGGAAGAACAAAAATGAACAAGTTGTTCTCTCCAATTCTCTATCGTTTAAAGCTTATAAATGGCAAACAGCATTCCATATTCAGGTTGTATTTATACTGATATATTCTCACAGATGTTCTCATAAATTATTATTACTCCTTTTAAATATTAATATTAAATGTATTCACATTTAATCAATATAAGCTTTGCTGAAATGATTTCTTACCAGTGGAGAAGTTCCCCCAAAGTGAAAAAGATAATCCAAGGTCACCAGAGGGTTATATATAAAGTTTTAGTAAAACTTTTTCTTTTAATCCAAAAATGAGCCTGCCGAAAAAGTATGTGACTAGATTGTGTTGCTCCACTGCAGATAGGGAAGAAATGTTTTATATTGTGCAGTGTCATTTATCTAAAGTGTTACTATGGAATGTTTGACTTTTCTGTGACAGTTTTTTTTAAATAAATGCTGTTTTATATTTGTGCTCTTAATTTCCTCCAGTTTTGAAAAATCTCTGTGAAGTTGTGTAATGGAGTGGGGGAGAAAAGTGATGGTTTTCTGAGGAAGAAGAAAGGGTGGTGGCAGGCTGAGATAAACGATCTTTCAAATATGGTGATCATGTGGTGATGTAGCATACCTGAAGCAATAGTGATTTTGTCTAACGTAAACAGATCTCTGTTTGCATAATGGGGTTTCCCTTTGTTCTCCATCTCTTCCTACCCTGCATTATATGTTATCTAGCCAAAAGAGATTAGCAATAGACAGGTTTTATACATAAATCTATAGACCAATAATACTACTCACCTAAAAAGGATATTGGAATTCCATGTAATTATCGCAACACTAACCTTGCCGAGTATAGTACTAGATAGGAACTGTCCTTGGAAGGTCACAAAAAATATCAACATAAAACTGGTGGAAATATCCTGGGATTTATTTCCAGTATCTGGAGATATGTTGCGTCTGAACTTGGACATTTCATTCATCATTTGAATTTTAGTAGCTATATTCATAGCAGAAAGATCTATTAAAAACAGTAATAAAACTCTATTGCTAGTCTTCTATCAGTAAAATTTATTTTTTTAAGTTGTTATTTTTTTAAAATAATGTGAAATATGGTGCCCTAGACATCAAGAATATTGCTGAGATGTTTGCAGTATAAGCACTGCGATACCTGAGCAGGCATGGTTATTTCATTTCTCTCAGCTAATCGGGTTTGTGAATGATTTTCAAATGTGGTTTAACAAAGAGATGACCAATACAATAATTCCTACGATCTCCTGGGAACCTTCTTTAGTTTCCCCAGGGTCCAACTGATTATCATTACCATATGGTCAAAAAAAAAAAAAAAGAGATCACACATGCTGCCATTAATGGAATGAATTTAAACTGGCCATTGATAACAGTAGGAGGAATCTAATGATCTGCATTAGATTGCTGGAAGATGGAAAAAGATGAGGAGGTATAATGTGAATATAAATTGTTATGTGTTCATTTGTGACTTCGACCTTGCAACATAAATTTATTTATTCCTGCAAGAAGCTGAACTAATTCTGTTTGACTGGGCTTATCTTAGTATTCCCAGGATCTCATTTGGGGTTTAAATTAATATGTAGAAATATATAAGAAATAACAAAAAAACTTGGATTACTTGTGATTCTAACATTGGTCCAAGTTTTTGGTAGTTATGGAGGATTCCAGAGAGATTAGTTAATAATATTGGAATTATAGCTGAGTAACATCTGCAGGTCTGTTCCTCACTCTTGTTTTATAGCACTTAAATATTCTTATTTTAAAGCAGAAATGGCATTTTAAAATACTCTCTCTATAAATATGTAGTTTTGTCTATGCTTGATCAAAATGTAGAATTTTAGCTTTTACCTTATCATACAAACAGTATGTACAGGGGTTGAAGAATTTATATTTGCTGTGTGATTGTACAAAAGAGATTTGTTTGTGACTTTAAAATTCTGATGAGAATTTTGAAAAGCTATGACATATGTATTACAAGTCTGTATATGCCATGTTGTATAAATGTACAAAGCAGGTGTACCCAGCAAATATTAGGGTTCAGGCCACTGAGAAATTTTAAGAGATCACTAGACAACCTGTGACCCATTGGATCATTCTTCTTTACACATATAAAAGAGAGCCCTGGTGAAGCCTCTTCCTCCCTCCCTCCCCCCCACGCAGGCATCCAAGTTGCTCCCTCAGTTTTCCCTCACTGGCCACCATGTTAAGAGATTTCAAATTTTGGGCTCAGTTCCAAAGCTGCTGGTTGATGCATTGCAGAAGTTAGAGGGAGGTGGGAAAGAGGGTGGGGTTTTCCATTTTCCTCTTCCCTTCTGCCAAGCAACCCATGGTTTCTAGGAAGTATGGTCAGAAGACCTGGTGGTGAAGCAGCCACAACTTTGCCAAATTTCAATTCCACAGGAGTCAGATTTTGGGTCCATTCTGTAAGTTAGCCATTTAAGGTATGTTGATTCAACAATTGTTGCTCTCTGATGCACCATTTTGCCCAGTTAAAAATTTCAAAGTATCAAGAATTTTAATAGTGTATAGATTTTGATGTGACAAAAATAATTTTTTTCTGTCACTTGATACAGAACTTTTAGAGAGCTTTGAGAAGGAACAAGAAAATATTTGATGCAATACTGAACACTGAGAAGGAACAAGAAAATATTTGATGCAATACTGAACAAATAGCTCATAATTCAAAGTTCTATATTTAGAACTGTCATTTTAAAAGTGCTGAGTAACCTTCTTGTATTATTCAGCATGTACAGTAAATTTATATGAATGCTGAGTTAATTTATATAAGGTTCATGTCCATCCTCATACTGGATGGCTTTTGGACCAGTCATGATCGCTCAGTGCAGCCTGCCTTACTGGGGGGTTGTTCAGAAACAGGAGGGAATGCTATGTATTTTATATATATTTTTTTGCTCCTGGTGGGAATGTGGAATGTAGAACTAAGAAGTATAATTTTGAGGAGTTTTGGTTGCGACTTATCTTGCTATGATTAATGATGCTGTCTTTCTGGCACAGATTCAAGAGTGTTTTAATTGGCATTATTTTATATGCTTTGATCCTGCAGAGAAACTAGTTAGGTAAAAGGCTCTAAAGAAAATGTAGCAAGAAATAATGCTAAAACAAAGACTGACTTTAAAAACATGATACCCCAGTCAAGGTCTACATAAGGAGTGAGACAGGAGAAAGAAAAGTTAAGTTAATAAGAGATGTGCCTGTAAAAATGCAAATGCTTGAATTTCAGATATTGGTTCATTTTAAATAAGAGACCAATTTGGCTAC